ACGTTCCCACAGAACTAAACTGCATTCTCAATTACGTTTAGCTAGAAATGTATTTTTACAACGATTCCAGGGATGCCTGACTTGAGTTTCTAGCACCAGGGAAAGTGGAAAAAGTGCCCCAAATCAGCGTCTTAATTTACCCAGGGCCTAGTGCTTGGCTTTCGGCATGAAAATTCAGGAAACTCCCCTGAGTATTTTATTACATATCTCAACTTTGGAGAGGAGTTGGGGGACAAACGACACATCAAATCACATCTCCACATCAAACCAAAGCTAACTAGAATACTCTTGTCTGCCTAGCATGCGGGAAAATTGGCGTGCTCTGTCACCACAAGAGCGAGAGTGAAAGCGGCATAATGGAAGGCTTTGTCCCGTTTTAAGCCGTAACGTTTGACATTCGGAGCAGCAGAGGGATGAATCTGCATGTACTCTTCGAGGCGATTCCAACGACACCAAGCTCAAAGCTGTCGGACCTTCCTTTGTGCCGTCTAGAGTACTGAGAGCCATGAAAACATGACCTTTAACCTTAGTTTGAGACTTGGTTGAAGGTCACCGCGGCCCCAAATTTTGCAAGCGGGTTCCACACAAGTGAAGCAACACACTCTCAAAGTCTCGAAGCGCCAAGCACCTTTTTTCAATTTTTTTCAATTTTCTCTCCCTCCCTCACCAAAGGGTGTCCAATCTTTAGCTCTAGACAGGATTTTGTGAGAGTTTGACATTAGATTGAAAAAAAAATGTCTGGGTGAGTTACGGTTCCCATATTTCATATTTCTTATCTGGGCCCTATTTAGAGGCCCCTGGTGAAAAAAGTATCTTTCCAGCCCTTTCCAAAGTCAGGTTATTAAAGATGAAAGATTATTCAACAAAACATTTCAATAACGTGCTTTAACCACTAGGTGTCCCTATCTACCAATTGGATCAAATATATAAGTCAGCCGAATTAGTGTTGATACTGAAAGGAGACGTATTGTGTGAAAAGAAATGGAATATGTTGTTTAATTGCTGATATATTTATATTTATTTTATTCTGCTGAGAAAGTTGAAGATCACGTGACATACACGCCAGAAAAAACGTCATTTCTGGATATTTGTCCACTGGTTTGCCTGTTAACCGTAGGTGTCACGTTTGAAGGGACGAAACGGAACGTCATCGCTCGAACGGCCAATCATATCGTGCATTGAGGAACCCAAAGCCTCCTAACAGAGATGCCTCGATCCTTTCGAAAATTCGCACGGAGGCAACAGTCAAGGTGAACATCTGTGAGTTTCTCCAAAGCGGTTACCATCGGTAAACAGCAAGTAAGTACTGCCCATAATGTGGATTAGTGGTGGATATTATGTGCTTTCGATTGTGAACGCCAGTGGAGTAGTGTCGTGTTGGTTTGTACATGGTAGCGAATAGATAGCTAGCGTTAGCTAGTAACATTAGCTTGATAGCAGCCATGTCCACCTTCAAGCAGGTGGCCTTAACGTTAGCCTAGCTAGTGCTAGCCAGCGCCGTATATGGCTATGGTAGATGGCTCTGGTGCTAGCCAGCCAACTGTTGCTGACTGTTCCATTTGTTGGCAGAAGGCTTATGCTGTATTCGAATGAAAGAGCGAACAATGAATACTTTAACCGGTAAGACTGGTATAATTGCCATTGGTATAAGCTAGTTAGCTTAGCATTGCTGCTAAGTTTGAATTCTGACGCCATGGTCTAACTAACTTACTAGTAGGTTAGCTGATGTTAGCTAGCTAATGAATGTTTCTTGTGCTAGGTGCTTGGTGGTTTCATGACATTGTCTAATCAAATTAGACCTAATCTAAATCGGTGTCAAAGTTGGTAACGTTAGTTGCTCTTACAATGTTCTTAATGAATTCGTCACAGACCCTATTGCACATTGGTGTCACCACGTGTCATCACTAGGGCTGCAACACACGACTAATTTGATAATCGATGAATCTATCGATTCATCGATTATTCGGATCGTTAAGGTTTTAACTGTACTACTCAGGGTTCGTACGGGTGCTTGAAATCCTTGAAAATGCTTGACATTTGACGTGGTGTTTTCAAGGTTAGGAAAGTGCTTGAATTTTGGAAATGGTGCTTGAAATTGAGATAAAGTGCTTGAAAATGTAAATGCTTTACTTTTACAATAAATTGCTGTCTGACTGAATAGTTCGCTTTTTAGATTAAAAGAAAAGAATTGCTTCGCTTCTACATAAAACAGCTCCGCTGCACCTTCCCGCGCTATGCGCGCGACCTGCAAGTGTTTGTGTTACGTGTGACCTGGGCATTCTGATGAGAGTGATAGATGACTGACTGTGTGCCAGGAGGTTGCAGTTTCAACGAGCGTTGGCTAGCAGAAGACAAATACAAGCCATGGCTAAGACGAGGGTCAAGCCCACGAGTAGCCTCCTACAAAGTATGCAAAAATAACGATGCGAGAGTCTGCGCTGACGAGCCACATGAAAGGTACGCCGTAGTAGAGCATTTTAGATTAGGCTAGCGTTGCATGTTACGTTTGTTTAAGCTAACGTTAGCTAGCTGAATAGCGATCTCGATTGAGGGATAATAATAATTGCAGGGGACAATCATTTCAGAGGAGCGTATCTATGTTAATATGTGCGTTACAGACGCCATCCTGTGGCGAGCAAAGTTTCAATCACTCAATACTTTCATCAACACTACTCTGGATGATACAGGATTACCAAACTCTCTTGCCTCTTCACAATGTTTACAGATTCGCAATGTTTATAGGTTTGAAATGTTTATAGGTTATTGCAATGCGTAATGTTATTTCTCTGAAAACACAATTTTTTAAATCTTATTTTACTTCTATACTATTCTAGCCTAAATTAACTTCTACTTTTACCTGCATTTTGTACACTGTCCTGTTTTGCACTTGTCCTGTCTTGTCCCTGCACCCTGTCCAATGTTGTCTTTATGTCAGTACCTACCAGCAACACATTTCTAGTATGTTGTAAAACTACATGGCGAATAAACAGATCTTGTATCTTGCTCTAGGCCTACTGATTGCCTGCCTGGTGTTGACCGACGCGACGAGGTGTATTGCCTAAATCCAATCCACGGATTGCTTCCTAGTTGGAGGTAGGCCTAGTATGCAACACAGACCGTAGTTTATAGACTGTGCATAACTGCAGTCCCCAGCTCCAGTGCTTCCCTCCATGAAGTACTGAAGCTCAGACATTTGTTACCTGTGCAGCACACCTGAGATTAATCACTTCATCCAATACTGTTTGACAGTACATTTATGTGAGCTTACCTCTCTTGCTTCCCTGTGGTGGTTTTTTACTGCCTCTATTCCAGATTTGACATCCTCGTGATCCTGGTGTGCGTGCGCCATCCTCGAGGAAATTGCTAGTGACTGTTCGAGTGTTGTTGCAGCTAAGGTAGTTAACATTTCGATATGATTGTGACTGCTGTCTCGTCTAAATGGGATGCTCGACTACCTGACCTTGAACACCTTTACAACATGCTCATGTTCATAATCTGCATGCAAACTGAAAAATTCCTTTTGTTGGTTGCCTTTGTAATTTCTCCTTTCTCTGGTCTCCTTTTTTCTAGGTCATCAGAGAGGACAGACCATCCTGCATTTCTGTCAGAAACTGGACAACCCGAAGATCAGGGAATTTCTGGCCAGCTATGATCCAGAGGGTTCGGAGAAGGCTGCCTGCATCCTCCAGCTCCTTATGGTCTACTTTAAGGAGCCTACTGAGAAACTGATGCTCGAAGTTGATGTAAGTTTTTTTAAAATTTATTTAAATATTTAAAATGCTAAACGAGTGATTACATTAGGGGCAACTGAAGCTCAGTTGGTAGAGCTGGTCGTTCATCGACCGTAGGGTTGGTGGTTCGAATCCTGGCTCTGACTGTCCGCATGTCGGAAGTGTCCTTGAGCAAGACACTTAACCCCCAAGTTGCTCCAAATGGGCCGAGCTGATCTGTGTTGAGCTGTAGTGCGCGGATTAGCTGTTGCCTTAGCATCACCCAGGCGGGGGCTACACATTGGTTTGCGGACGTCCATTTGTAAGCGCTTTGGGTGTCTTGAAAAGCGCTATATAAATGCAAGTAATTATTATTATTAGACCATTTATTATGTTCTGATTTACCTCTGACCAATGAACGATCTTCATCCTTGCATAATGTTAAATCTATGCTATTGTGTGTTACTTTGTTACAGACCTGTGCCACTGCTGCTGATGTAGTGAATACTGCAGCACTCCCAAGCACCCCTTGCTTGATCATTCAAGGTAATGTAATGTTCAGGGTTGGGATTTTTCCTGTTTATACTGGATTTCCTGCTTTTCTGACCTGAATGGCTAGACTTCACTGCTGCTTTTATTCTAGTTATATAATTTCTCTTAGGACATCCCTGTTCTGCTCCACCATCGATGAGGTATAGGATACTGAATAGTTACTCTAAAGAGCTTAAGTGTTCCTTTGCATCAAGGGGAGAATCTGACTGAAGGCCTTCCATCTCTCCTGCACTCCATTCAAGTCCAGTCTGTGAAACGACACTTACGATACTCTGACGCCATATGTTTCAGCGATTCGCGTTAGTTAAAATCTATAGCCTGTTTCAATGATTCAGGGGTCTGACGAGTTGACATGTTCTCGTTCTAGCTGGGCTCGTAACCATCTACCCATAGAGGAATGAGGTTAAACCGTCTATCCATAAAGGCAGAGGGAGGAGGGCTAGGGAGTTGCTTTGTCGTTCAGCCAGATTCTCCTATCTGCACAAACACCTTTGATGCTTTTACAGTGACTGTTAAGTAGCCTACCTCACTGATGGTGGAGTAGAAAAGTGCTGTCCACCTGGAGGGTTCTGTGTCATGTCCTTGCATGCTCTGCACTGTATATTTTCCTGCTTTTTGGTCCTTGGCAATCATGAATGTTACTCGGATCTGGTATTGACATCTCCAGCTCAAGTATTATTTTTGATTGATTCTAGGAATGTACCTATCCACAATAACGCATGACGGGGTATCTGTTCATTTCAGGTGACACAATGAAGCCTTCTGGGTGGATGCTATCCATCGAGGGACAAGTGGTAATGGGCCCACACCCATTTTTTTTGCATGGGCTAGCTGCTTTATTCAGCAGCTACTATGTCTTCAACCTCAAATATCCCGTTGGATCATGCACACTGGAGTTCATCCAAAGGTATTGTAACACTCAAACACATGATCAATGTCATCAGTAAGACTTGTCATGCAAATTTGTGTTTCACTATCTTGCTATTAAGTCCATGCCTTTCTACAGAGGCTATAAAGTAGATTGAATGCTTTGAGTATGAAGCCTGGAACCAAATATGCGAATTGGGACCACACCATCACTTGATGTTGCTGGGCTAGCTTGTTAAAAAATTGACATAATGGTTTAATTCACAATATAGTATGGCTTCAAAATTCAGATAAGTAAGTAAACCTTATGTTAGAGGTACCTGAGGCACTCTGCTAGGCTACAAATAATGTTATTGTGAGAGGATGATCCAACAGGTTTGTACTAGTAACAGTCGGTGTGGGAAAAGACACAGGTGAACACCTTGATAAATGCTGCCTGCAATACATGAGTGTATTTAAAACTGAAACTTATCTTTGCTTATTAACAGATGCTTCTTGGGCATCAACCCGGAGAAAGGCTCCAAGGCAAAGAAGCGAAGCTCCATTAACCCTCACGTGAGCACCCTTCACCGGAAGCTGATAGACTTGGAATGGTCTGCATAGACTGCATGGTGTGCGGGGACAAGTTTAGTGGGAAGCATTACGGTCAGTTCACCTGCGAGGGATTATTTGTTTAAAGGATCCGTTAAGGGTTCATCTGTTTTTTATGGATAGTTGAGGTGAACTAGTTCATGTTCCTGTTTGTTTACTCTGTTGTTTATTTTGTCAATAAATATGCCAGTGGGCTTCCATTGATTTTACCTCATTTGTGCGTTTGGTGTGTTGTTTTTAATTGTACAATAACATTACGTGCATTTTTATAGTGCAGCTCCAGTACTTCCAGGAGGAAGCTCACACTTTGGTTTCCTGTTAAACTTGGACAGGAAACCATTGTATGAGCTTCCTCCAGGAAGTACTGGAGCTGGGAATTACAGTTATGCAAGTGTATCATTGTAAATTACTGGCTACTCCTGCAGTACTTTCACAGTACACATTGTAAATTCACAGTAAATTACTGGCTACTCCTGCAGTACTTTCACAATAGAAATGTAAAAGTGCAGGCCCTTGTTGTAATTAATGTACAACAAAATAATGTAATTCCCCAGTAACATACTGTAATATCACAGTAATTGAAGCTGTGAAGTTACAGTATACAGTTGTACCTTTACAACAATGCATTGTAATATCATGGATGTGAAATTACAATACATTGCTGTGAAGACATTCACAGTAAATTGCTGTGAACCTTACTGTGAAAGTCATGCAACAAGTTGCCAGGTAATTATTGTGAATTCACGGTGGATATTTTTACAGTGTATGTAAAAGGTCTTACGAAAATGTGTTATCTCTGTATCAAGATGATGTGTTTAAAAATGAATTTTGTGAAAAATACCAACGGTGTGAGAGACGTCATAAAGACACTCATTTTAACCACAGTGTTTGTTCTCTACAAATGTTTAAAGATTGTTACAAAATGTAAGAAAAGAAAAAGAAAAAGGTATGGAGACAAAATTAATTCAGGTGACTGTCTTTATTAGGAAAACAAAAATATAATACAAATGGTTTAGGGGTAAATGTAACAATCTTGGACTTAATATTCTAACAAAATACTTTATCTGAATACATTTTCTTTTAAACGCACTTTTTGAAATTATTTATTTATTATTTCAGTGGAACAATCCAGTTTTTGTTAACATCAATGCTTTTTTCTCTTTTCTTGTGTTACTAAGATACTTTTAGACACACTTTGGTGTATGCAACACTTAACAACTGGTAGAATATGAAGTACTTTGTAAGGAATTTGGTTTCTTTTAATGGCGCGTTTTTGTTGTTGTTTTTTTTTTTTAAAACACTTGTTCAGTTAAACAAGGTTTTTTCTTTTCTGATAACCTTACATATTTTAGTTATGTTCTGCTACCAAGATACTTTAAGATACACCTTGATGTACGCAACACTTAACAAAGGGTATAATATGAAGTACTTGGTAAAGAATGGGTTTTCTTTAAGGGGTGCAAAACTTTAGAACTGGGTAAAATATGCATTAATTTGTAATGAATTGAGTTTTCTTTCTTTTGATTTTCAACATACTATTTGTACACAATGACTTTTCCATATTTCTGACAAACTATACTTTTGACTTTTTCCGTAAAATCTTGACAAACTATTACTTATTCTTAAATTTGATCTATTGCTGCTTGGTTGGAAATGATAGATGAAAAAGCTACAACGCTTAAAGAATTTTTTTTTAAAACTCTCAATTCTACAGAGATGACTCCCCCCATTCAACGCAATAAGTCCCACCCTCCACTCAGCAAATCATCTAAAACGAAGGACCCCACTAAGACGACCGTTGTAAACTAGCCATGGATCTGAGAAAAACCAAGATTCCCCCCGCGAGTTGCAGCCAGGAACAGACTCCTGGACTACCATCATCACCACCATTTTGGACACCCGAATCTTGCAGTACTACTGCTGCTGATGTTACTCCTGGGGCCAAGACGTCTCTGTTTATGGACACAGTGAAATCGGAGTTGGTTCATATTGTGGAGAGGGTGCTGTATCGGTACAGAGAAGAAATCTGCAACGGATGCCGAGTCAGTCACCCCGGCCAGAGGCAACACGATTGTCTGAATGACATGCCCGATTTCTTCTTCAGAAACAATTACAATGCGTTAATGAAAATACTTTGGCTCGCCAACTTCATTACTGTGATTGACCAGAGTCTTATTGATAAAGGCATTTGCGAGGATGAATGGAGGATCCGACACGCTTCGGAGGCTTTTCTGCACAAGCTCAAAAACTGCGGACACCTCAAGGAGAGACTTGAAAATATCCTTGCCGAGTTGAATGGAGAAGAATAAGACTAATAACCAGCAGTTGACTGAAGCCAGGGATTTGTTCGATACATTGACTTTGTTTTCTTTAAAGTAAAATAAAAATGGGAAACTACTATGCAAAACGCTCTGTATATATTGATCATAATGTAGTCAATACCCTTTTAATAAGTGTGGTGATGAGGACGATTGAAAACAGAACGAGTAGTGACCCCTGTGTAAACAGAATGGCTGAAGTTTGTAAACTAGAAGACATTTTGGATATCGTTCGTTCTGGCAGTACTATTCCGGGTCATTGGGAAACGATTGTAAACGAAACATTTAAAGTGGTCCTGGAATCTTCATTTTCCGAAACATCCTGTAACATTACCGCAGAAATGAAACAAACATCAAAAGTGTATAATGTGCTCTCATTGTATGCTCTGTTTGTAGATGTAATGCATATTTGTGTCGAAAACAGCATACACATGAATATTTTGACTGAAGTGAAAAAACTCCATCATGAAATGTCCAGTAATCTGGGGAATTCTAAGATGGAGACGGTCCTGTGGGTGTTACAATCAGTATAACTATTGATTTTGTGTGTGAGAAAATAAAAATGTAAATGGGCCATTTAAAAAAAAAATACAAAAAGTGTTTTTTTTACATTTATAAAATGTTGTCTTCATTATAGCAAGGGGAGCGTGTCTGATACATGTGTATTACAGTCCTTCACATGCACTGTTGTCTTCATTATAACAAGGGGAGGATAACAGGGAAGATGTAGGATACATGTGTATTGAAATGTGCGTATTATACACCCACAGAAACGCAGAAACGCAGAAACACAGACACACAGAAAACACTAGTATGGTTTTTTGTGTTTTCAGTGTTTTCTGTGTGTCTGTACACACAAAGCACAAATCATTTAAAACAAACCCTGAATCAAATTTAGAGAGGACCATTAAGAGTCAGATGCTTGACGAAATCTACTAAAACAAAGTACTTAATTATCTACTTTTTAGCTTTTATACACAAAAGTGTATCTTTCAGTAACTTTCTCAGAGAATTTAAGCATAAATCTGTCAAATTTCAAAACAGCCTTGTTTCACTGAAATAGCCTCAAAATCACAAACTGCCATTAAGAGTCAGATTCTTAACGACATCTACAGACACAAAGTACTTTCATGGTAGTGGTCAGCTTTTAAAAAGAAAAGTGTATCTTTCAGTAACTTTCTGAGAGAATTAAGCATAAATATGTCACATTTTCAAAACAGCCTTGTTTCACTGAAATAGCCTCAAAATCACAAACTGCCATTAAGAGTCAGAATCCTAATTAAATCTACTAAAACAAAGTACTTCATGGTAGTGGTCAGCTTTTAAACACAAAAGTGTATCTTTCAGTAACTTTCTGAGAGAATTAAGCATACATCTGTCAAATGTTCAAAACACCCTTGTTTCACTGAAATAGCCTCAAAATGACAAACTGCCATTAAGAGTCAGATGCTTGACGAAATATAATAAAACAGAGTACTTTCATGGTAGTGGTCAGCTTTTAAACACAAAAGTGTATATTTCAGTAACTTTTTGAGAGAATTAAGCATAAATCTGTCAAATGTTCAAAACAGCCTTGTTCCACTGAAATAGCCTCAAAATGACAAACTGCCATTAAGAGTCAGATGCTTGACGAAATCTAATAAAACAGAGTACTTTCATGGTAGTGGTCAGCTTTTAAACACAAAAGTGTATATTTCAGTAACTTTTTGAGAGAATTAAGCATAAATCTGTCAAATGTTCAAAACAGCCTTGTTTCACTGAAATAGCCTCAAAATCACAAACTGGCTGAAACTGTACAGTGAATTGGAGAAATTACAGCACAGAGTTTTCTACTACGACACAGACAGTATAATCTATGTGACAAGACAGGGGGAGACTCCACTGCCCATGGGGGTTTATCTGGGGGATTCCTAAAAGTTATGCTTACCAGACCAAAAATCAAAAAAGGTTGTGATGCGTTTGTGTAATCACTTTCACACGCATCATTTTAGATTTTTGGTCGGGCATGTCATTCAGACAATCGTGTTGCCTCTGGCCAGGGTGACTGACTCGGCATCCGTTGCAGATTTATTCTCTGTACCGATACCGCACCCTCTCCACAATATGAACCAACTCCGATTTCACTGTGTCCATAAACAGAGACGTCTTGGCCCCAGGAGTAACATCAGCAGCAGTAGTACTGCAAGATTCGGATGTCCAAAATGGTGGTGATGATGGTAGTCCAGGAGTCTGTTCCTGGCTGCAACTCGCGGGGGGAGTCTTGGTTTTTCTCAGATCCATGGCTAGTTTACAACGGTCGTCTTAGTGGGGTCCTTCGTTTTAGATGATTTGCTGAGTGGAGGGTGGGACTTATTGCGTTGAATGGGGGGATTCTACACATCTATGTAGAATTGAGAGTTTTAAAAAAAAGTTCTTTAAGCGTTGTAGCTTTTTCATCTATCATTTCCAACCAAGCAGCAATAGGTCAAATTTAAGAATAAGTAATAGTTTGTCAAGATTTTACGGAAAAAGTCAAAAGTATAGTTTGTCAGAAATATGGAAAAGTCATTGTGTACAAATAGTATGTTGAAAATCAAAAGAAAGAAAACTCAATTAATTACAAATTAATGAATAATTTACCCAGTTCTAAAGTTTTGCACCCCTTAAAGAAAACCCATTCCTTACCAAGTACTTCGTAGTATACCCTTAGTTAAGTGTTGCGTAAATCAAGGTGTATCTTAAAGTATTTTGGTAGCAGAAAATAACTAAAATATGTAAGGTTATCAGAAAAGAAAAAACCTTGTTTAACTGAACAAGTGTTTTAAAAAAAAACTCAATTCATTACAAATTAATGAATATTTTACCCAGTTCTAAAGTTTTGCACCCCTTAAAGAAACCAAATTCCCTACAAAGTACT